CTCTAATCCCCGCACTGAAATACCCTGTCGATTCCCCCCCCCTCTTCACTCCCTGTAGCCAAGGAGACGCGCCGTGTAAGAAGGAAATTCCTGATACACAGCGATTCTGATTGGCTACAACTAGGATCCAAGGGATCGACATGGCTTTCGTCAGGCGAGTATCCTTGAGCCTTTCCCTACTCCTCCCTGTCTCAGTCCTAACCCTTCCTAGCATCTATCTTCTTTTCCACAGTTATAAATTCCGCAAGCGCTCCTGAAAATCTCTCTCTCGACTCATCAGCCCGCTTCCAGGAAGCTGTGGCTAGGTGGTATGAAGGAAGGTGCGAGTCGAAAAGTCTTGACGAGCTGGCTGTAGTTTTAGCGCTCGGCATGATGGATCGCCGGACGGACTGTGGGATCCGAGCAGGGCTGTACAGAGACTAAGTCGGTGGGGTGACGATCGACACGTGACGGTCGGGATCGTCAATGCAAGTGAGACGTTCGAGTCGGAAGTGAGTGAGTGCATGGCCTAGGGCTATGGTGGAATTTTATGGCAGAAGTGCTTCCCTTTTTTATCCCAAACTTTGTATCTTCGATTGTGAATTCCGATCGCTCGGCTTTTAAGTCGGAACTTCCCTGGACAAGATTGCCTGACATTCTGTGATTGCTTTATACTCGTTCTTCCCTCCTGGTCTGCGTTCATACTCTCTCTCTCTCTCTCTCTCCTCCGATCACGTTATATCGCAATGGATGAATTATAGTAACCTTGCTTCTCTCACTTCGGTATGTGCATGCGGTGAGTTGTGTTAGAGAGTTTGTTATAGCATGATTGTAAGGACGATTGGCTGATCGACTGAATGATCTGGTTGCCTGGAGTGTCAAACGAATGATGTATGATTAAAATCTGTTTTGAGCTTGCCTTTGCTGCCATGTGGACTGACGGCCCCAACCCAACCGGGCGCCAACTTCCCGTGCCCCCGCTGCGCCCCTTCCCATACAACGTGGGAAGGATACATGTATGCAAGTGGGACGTACGAGAAGCCGTCGCCAAGATCGGAGGGCGTTACTACTTGCCTCCCGAAACTCGGTGTTCTGGATTCGTCGGTGCGGTTGTTTTTATCATCGATACGCACTTTCCGCCCTATTCGTTGTTGTTGCCATTCGACGAACTGATCGTCGTCCCGAGGACGGCAATGGAGCCCCATTGGCCTAACACTCTGTGCAGCGATTGTTGCCGCGTCGAGCGTTACCAGGCCAAGGGTTTTCACTACCGCACACGCGGCGAGAACGAGCACAAGGAAAAGGCTGCTCGATTGAGGCCCTCCACGTCGGACTTGGAGTTATGTAACGAGGGCCGACGAGACCTCATCCAAAAACGGGATACCAGGTGTGTACTCGCACCCTTTCACGTGAAACGAAGAGCGACAGCTCGCTGGGAAGTCCAGCGATACTTTTTAGATTGAATTTCCCATATCTGCGAGTCCCGCGCGCGCCTTTTTCTCCCTTAAAACCCGCGCGGCGACGGACCTTCTTCTTACTACAGTCGGACCAACACGGGGGATTTCAGCTCTGTCTGTGTCCCCACACTCAATTTTCCAAAAATCCTTGGCGCACCCCATCTTTGCTGCCCTTCCCTGGGCCCCCTTCCGGAATTCAAAACCCTCCGACCGGGAAGCAGCGCAGGGCGTTAGGTTGAGCGTCACGGCCTCCTGGATGCTGTGTGTGGCCTGGCTGGAAGCTTCCAGTAGCTTCCGGTTGGGTCTCAGACCCCGCGCCCAGGCCCGAGACTACAGTTGAGGGCCTGGGCCCTTTTTAGTTGGGCACGGCCTCAGTCTCCGGACTTGGGTTGTTTGCTGCATCTGTAAAGGGCTCCCAGGCAGGTGCGTCGGCGGTACTGCTTTTGCAAAGGCCGGATAGCCTGCTTCCCAATGTATCGGCCCTGCTTTGTGTGTATGTGCCCAGGCGCTACTGTCAAGGTCTGGGCCAACTGTATGACGCAGCTTTGTGAGGCTCACGCGTCTACCCAACCAACTGGTGTGCTGCGAGAGCCTGAATACCCACATATGGAAATGTCGAATTCTTCCTCTGACGAATATTCAGGCCCGCCTTCACTTAGGGTGGGCACTCGGTTTGCTGGGGGCCTTAGACCAGATCATGTGATGTCTGATACGGCCCCATGAGGGCTTGTTCCTCGCACTATCAGCACCCCTAGCATTTACTCGGGCTGTTCTCCAAAAAAAAAAAAAAGAAAAAAAAAAAAGAACTCACAAAAAAAAAAGGCCCCGAAATATATTTTGGTGGGGGCTGAACCCCTTCAGGTTCGGACCCCGAACGCCCAAATGTACAGAGGTCGGCCTGGGGGCCTCCGTACGTACGGGCTGGTAACCATGCTTGAGGCCAAATTTTGCACACAGCAACCTTGAACCCAAACGAAAACAGGCAAAAAAAAAAAAAAAAAAAAAAAAAAACTTCAAAAAAGTTAAGAAAACCTAATTTAAGTTTTGGACCTGTTAACCAAGGAGTTGAAAATGGGGTTCCCGTTAACCACTTGTGGGTTGTCTGAGAACTTCATCCTTCCTTTTGGGCCCGACCTTGTTTTCTGGGAAGCTCGGTCTCCATGTGTCGATGAGTTGCTCCCAAAAGCATTTTGTGTTCCCTCTGTCCTCCTCTTCTGGGGCTCGAGTCACATGAAACCCACAAAGGTGTTCATGATTTTGTATTTCTGGGAATAAGCGTAACAAATTCATTTTAATGGTGAAATGATTTTTTTTTTTTTTTTTTTTTTTCAAGGCTAATTCTTTAAGCCCAACCAATTGAATTACCTGTCGAATCTGGACCGGACAGCCTTTCAGGCCTTTTTTATTGTCATTATAGTATTACGGGGAACCCCGTAGCAGCCACATCTGTGCTGAAGCCTCCAGCGAGGGAACATGCAGGAGCTGCACCCACCAGCAGGTGCGATACCTGCTACAGGAGGTGGGCGATACCGGCCAGGGGTCACCCGGTAGCATCAGGACCGAGCTTCTTCGTGGGCCAGTCACTGTGCCTCCCCTCCGGTCCCCTCCCCCTATGAACATCAGCAGTCTCTGCTCAGTGCCACTCGGGAGGACCAACAGCATATCTCTAGGTGGCGGGCGCCAAGCTTGCCCAGGCAGGTACATGGGGCCAATGGGGATTGAACCCAAGACCTCCTGAATGCCGCTTGCGTGCCTTACCAACTGAGCTAGGTCGCTGGATTTTTTGTGTCTTTTGACAGGGTAGTTATGAAAAGAGATCACTGTGACAAGTCTTTCCAACAATTTGTACATGCTACGTCCTCGTAGGGTGCTTTGACCTTTTTGCAGTGTGACAGTGCTTGCTTCTGCCATCTCTTGGGAGGGGCCACGTTTGGTTGAATATCAAGAAGAGGCCTGTCATGTTGGGTGGAGGATCGAAGGGCGTCAGCTCCATGATGCGATGCAGGGCTAAGACGGCACGCCCATCAGTCAGGGCGTGCCGTATGTTGGTCGCCTTATCTTATCCTAGCCCCCCCTTTCCTTTAGGTTGCGTGACTGTCTGCTCTGCGCTGTGTGTGAGAGCTGGGTTTTCGACAGTGAGACGAGCTGTGATGTTGCTGTGTGTGAGAGTGACGAGTATGAGGGGGGGGCAGGAGAGAGGTGGGTTAGCTTGATGGCACTCTCCTATCCGGTAGAGGACGAGGGTGCCGCAGGTGATGGAGAGAAGGATTATGCCACTGATGACGCAGGTGAGTGGGAGGTTGATGATGAGAGGGTAGTTGGCGATGGTAACGCAGGTGAGTGGGAAGGGGAGTGGGGGTTATTGGCATAGGTGGAAACAGCGGCAACAGCAGCGGCGGCGTCAACGACAAAAGCAAGAGCGAATACATCAATAGTAACAACAACAACATCAACATCAACAATACTGGAGGTGGAACAGGGGTGTAGGGCTGACGTGGTGGTTGTGGTAGACGACAGGCAAGGAAGGGGTGAGATTGACGAGAAGGTGGGATGGGTGACGGCGACAGGCAAGGAAAGGGTGCGATTGACAAGAAGGGTGGGATGGGTGACAATAACAACGACAACAACAACAATAACGGCGGCAAGCGGCGACTGAGTGAACTGGCTCAGACGGGCATGAAGGAGGATAGCAACAACAACAACAACAACAACAACAACGACAACAACAACAACAACAGTAACGAGAACAACGATGGTGATCAGGGACTCGGGGTAAAGGGTGAGGAGGTGCTCCAGTCTATTCGCGGGGAACAACACGTTCTGGGAACCGGTCCCAGCGTCCCATAGCGAATTGTACAGATCATTGAGAAAATTTGAGATCATTTGAGATACCGGGGCCATTACCTGGCCTCGGCTGAGAACAGTCTGTGAACACGATGTGATTCAGAAAGCATGGGGAGGATCATGAATATGTAATGACCTATTAAGGAACTACTCATGCAATAGGCTGCCACAGAGGTCCTACGAATGCTCACAACCCTCAGGATCCATAACAAACCCTTCTAAAACTTTCCAACACAGTCTTACTCCCTGCTGAGCTCTTCCAGGCCTCACGCCCCCCCCTGCTGGGTTACAGGGCAACACAACTTGCCCCAGCTCCAACCAGCGTCATCCCAGCAACAACCCTTGGTTGTCCCTTGGGATGCCCACCCCAAAGCATCCCCAGATCTCTCTACCAGGCCTCACGCTCCTGCATCAGCAGGTTACAGGGCAACACCTCAGCACCGGCCAGCATCGTTCTGGCATCGAACAGCCGCAGATCACTGAGTATAACAGCTTCAAAACCGCCTAAGATGGGTTGCTAAGAGTCTCTAGAGTCCTAAGACATTCATAAGAACAACCGACTTTTTTCCACTATTCAGACTCTACCAAGTCACTAGAATACGTGTGTCAAAAAGCCTCCCAACCACGAATCAGATAGGTGAAACCTATTCAATCCACCTATGACCACCACCAGCATGGCTGTTTTCAGCACGAACCGAAGCTCTTTCAGGCCTCATGCTCCCATCAGGTTAGGTTACAGAGTTGCACCACCTTGCTCCAATTACGACCCCCGATGACCACTGAGACTGCCCCCACAAACAGCCCCTCAGAGCTCTCTACCAGGCCTCACGCCCCCACTAAGCTAGGTCACAGAGTTGTGCCACCTGGCTCCGGCTCAGGCCAGCGTTGCTCCAGCATCGGTCTTCGAGGGCCACCAAATTTTCGACCACCCTTCGCAGGATCACAGATGACTTGCCAGATAGCACCTATTTCTACAACCTCCTCGAGAGGCAAACCAAATGGAAAGAAATAGTAAACTGGATGATAGACTTCTTCGAGAGAGATCACCCCTCCCTCCCCCTACGCGTACCCCCTCAGCCCTACACTGCCTCCGCCGAGGTGAGTCACCCACTCTCCCTCGGCCCCAATATAGGACCAACCCTCTACCCCCCTTTCCCTAGGAGCACGCAGTTCCCACCTAAAGCATGCCGCCCCGCCCTTGCCCATCTCTGCCTCCGCAGGGACTGATGTTGACCCACGCACCAGCCCCTGCCCCAGAATAGGGCAACCCCCTACTCCGCCCCTACCCTCTTTGAGACATTCACCCCCCACCTTGTGATGCCCCTGCAAGATAAAGCTCCCCCCACCCCCTTCCTACCGTCAGCCCTCCGGGAACGATCCGATCCAGTCGACTACAGTTATTGATGACACACTTACCAAAATGTCGTTCGCAATCTGGAAAAGCAGGGCCTCTTCAAAAATATGCAATAACCCCCGAAAACACCCTACAACGATGGTGATAACAACAACAACAACAACAACAACTACAACAACAACAACGACAACATCTACAAGGGGCAGGGAGTGGAGCTTTTGCATCCAAGCTCCTTATCAGCATCACGGGAAAGACGCCGCCATCAGTACAGTGGGGGAGAATTAGTGGTTTGTTGCGGCTGGTGAAGTGGGGTTTCAGGTTGGAGGTAAGATTTACGGTTCCCCCCCACCCCTATCTGGTGTTTTCTCATGACGAATCGTGCTCTCTTCTGGTGCCGGGTGGGGAGAGGATAGATGATAGCTCTGAGATGATTTGCCTTGATTGCCTCTCATCTTCCTAACCCTCAACGCTTTTACGAGCAGGAGGTCAATCCTTCCCCTGGGTTGGAAGTAATCAATGCCTCTGCTCTGTTTGGTGATACAGGTGAGCCAAGTGCATATATGGTCGGCTTCCAGCTCACATACAGTACATCAACCCTGGGGTTTTGCTTTATATCGGGGTTAGGGTTTGATGTCTGGATTGTTTTACAGAATTGGGCTTCATGCCCCGCTTACCATGATCATATGCTGGGGTAGGGGATAGGGTTTTCCCTTCACGGGAAAAGTATAAATCGATAATGGATTGATGTACATATACAGACAGTTTCTGACTGTAGGACATGATAGGCTCATCTGGCACAGATTGCTTAACGTGCATGCATAGGTAGTTGGAGACATCGATACAGCTCTGCATAGGGCCGCTGGACCCGATTTCCAGCAGACTCATTCACATCATCGTACAGGGACGCTGGACCCAATTTCCAGCAGCTAAGACAGACAGATCAATCCCCTGGGCCCCAGGGTAATCAATGCTGGCAGGAACCCCCCTCGAGCATTTCTGATTCTTTTCCCACACAACTCAAACTCTACCTGTATAAGGGGCGCTGGACCCGTTTTCCAGCAGGTGATGCTCCCCACCAATAGATGGAGCCCTCCCAGGTGCTAGTGGTGTTTGCTCTTACCAGCACCACTAACACTAGCGGGGGTTTTTATTGAAAAAAAAAAGAGAAAAAAAAAAGATTGGACAGTATCGGACTGTAGGACATGATAGGTCCATCAGACAGATTCTTCCAGCAGATAAGACAGACAGATTGGATAGTGTCGGACTGTAGGACATGAGAGGTCCATCAGACACAGATTGCTTAACGTGTATGCATAGGTAGTTGGATATACCAATACGTCTCTGCATAGGGACGCTGGACCCGACTCCCAGAAGAATTCATTCACATCATTGTACAGGGACACTGGACCCCATTTCCAGCAGATACATTCACATCACTGTACAGGGACGCTGGACCGGATTTCCAGCAGGTGTAGCTCCCCACCAATAGATGGAGCCTTCGACGCTGGGACCTACTTACCGGGGATGCTCTTATCACCTCGTTAAGTAGGTTTCCCGTACACGAAGGTTTCCCGTTTACTAGGTGCGAGTGATACGTTAGTCACACAACCTAAAGGAAAGGGGGGGCTACGAGCAGCCTCCTTTAATACAGATAATCCCTAGCCCCGGTCCAGAACAACTTTAGTAGGGGGGGTGATACAAGCAGCCTCCCCTTATACGCGTTCTGGTTACCCCAATCTATTGGTGGGGAGCCGCACCTGCTGGAAAATGGGTCCAGCATCCCAATTGAATACATATGGGAAAATTGGAAGTCGTGATATGTGAAGTTTTGTTTATCTGGGTTCCTTGTCCACAGGAAGGCCGCAGCCCTACATCAGGTGTGCTTTTGAAAGTCTGGGGAGGGGAACCAGATCGGAGTGGCATACCACATCGCAGACAGTATCGAGTTGTTTAGAGCCAAGGTTCTAAAGGGTAGTCAAGTGTGTTCTCCCTGCCAACTGTGCATTTCATTGATCACTGACACCAGCAAGGAGGCTGCCGACATAGGGTGACAGCCTTTCATGCTCAAGCTGATTCCGAAAAAGTGAATGGGAGCAGAAGGGTCTGCCCACAACAAGCCCTCAAGGGACAGTTCTACCGGGGGGGGGGGGGGGGGGGGGGGGGATCTGCAAGCCACCAACCAATTGTTGTAGACCAACTGACTTTCATTTCCGAAGCTGGCAGGGGGAGGTCTTCTCAACTTTTCTCAAAAAAAGATCCTTGTTGAAGTTGTAAATGTCCTTATGGGATGCTGGACCCGGTTTCCAGCACGTGCTGCTCCCCACGAATAGATTGGAGCGTTTGTTTGAAAAAAACAAAAACAAAGAAAAGAAAAGCTTGCATCGCTCTTGTAAGGGCTTGGAAGGAGGAGGTGGAGGCTCTAACAAGGACCTTCAGTTCATCGGCAAATAGGAGGATAGTTGGCAGGTGAAGTGTTTGACCTCTTTCATCTTTGATGTTTTTTCAGCAGCGAGCAGCTAAATATAACCACTTCAGCGCGACTTCAGGTAACCCACAAGCAACCCCTAGCTTCTTGAAGAATTCTTCTTCTGTTTTTTTTTTTAAGCCCAGGGTGTTGTAGAGGCCAAGGACCAGACCCGCGGCGATTGCTCGCAGTGGCAGCAATGGTTGTCCTGAAAGGATAGGCCACCTACCCTACCCATCCCCACGTTCATACTCCCAGTGCACCCCCTGTCCCTACTATCCTACCTCAGTGTGACCAGCACTCAGGACCATCACCCTACCAGTATCGAGGGCAACTTGGGCCAGACAGCAATGACAAGCACCAAGGCTGGGGCCAATCCCCCAGCCCTAGTGGAAGCGGAAGCGGATGAACCTTGCGGTAAAGGAGAACGGCTAGGAATAACATTGGAAGTACATAACCACGGACATATACAGAACCAAAGCCAAGCCACCCCAGGTGCTGTCCACTCGGCCATCCTGAACCGGCCTCAACCTTCGTGTCCTCGGACCAGAACTCTGCAATGACTTGCTGATTTGGCTGCTGCATTTGTCTGCGAGGCTGTACAGTACAGTTTAGGGACAGATTCGTAATTTTGTTTCCACTAAGGGCTAACCGTGGTATCCGCCAGGGGGGAAATTCGTGAGGGATATATCTGCAAATTTGCAGAATTTCAGGCCCGCACTAATCTGGAATTCCTACAGTGACCCTAATAGCAGACCTGGGCTACCACACGAACAGACAGGCCTACGGGCCTACGCTGATAGACTGGTCCTATAGCCTAAAGCCGGGTAGGGAGAGGCCCTAGACGCCGAAACTGAAACGGTACCGGTCGGTCCAGTCCGAGTCTAGGGTTAGGCTAGAGCTATTAATAGGACTGAGTCAGTCGAGTTGTTTTTTTTTTTTTGGAACTTTTGGCTTTTGTTTTGCCAGGAGACGTGAGCAGGGCCAACGAAGGAAGGAAGGTGACAATTGACTGCAGGGGGCATCCTGAGTCCCTCGTCAGAGGACAGCCATAGCCAGACCTCTGGGGCCCGCCATAGCTGGGGCGCCCTCCACGCGCTTGCCCTTGAGGGTGTTTGCAATCGTCTGGGCGATCGGGAGGCTCTACACAGCTGTTTGTGGGTGGACCGCTGCTGCTGCTACTCTTTCGGAGGTTGCTGTGTGGCAGAGACAGTGGTGCTGCAGCCATAGGTGCAGCTTTTGATGTCAGAGACTCTTCATCTTCATCAGGAACTTGGCGCTGGCCTCCTTCTTCATCATTCTGGTTGGCGCTGGCCTCCGAGAGGCCGTTTCAGAGTGGCGCTACTAGCAGTGTGGCATATTGCGCAGCCACACGGGCCTGCAAGGCCCGACCAGACAGAAATTCAGGG